TGTGACGAAAATTCTATTATACTGGAAATAAAAATTTAGCAAAACTAGAAATCATCTCTGCCCTCATAGATATTTCATAATAGTGAAAGAGATAGATATTAACGAAATCACAAAAACAGCATATACTTGGAACTGTGATAAATATCATGGAGGATGTGCACTAGCTGACACATTGTATGCTGGGAGAATTTGATCTGGTGAAAGAGAATGGAAAAAACATCTTGAAGAGGATCAGCGATTGCTCTTGAGCTCTGCAGGTGAATAGGAATTTACTACATGAAAAGGAGAGAACAGGTACAAGGAAAAAGGGGAAATAGCATTTATTTTTTTTCTTATTTTATTATTATTATTATTATTTTCTTAATTGAAGAAATGATTTAAATTTTTTACCCCCGTCTACCTCTCTCCTCTCCCCTCCCCTCTGGTAATCATTAGTCCATTGTCCATTGTCCATGTCCATGAGTCTCCGTTTGTCCTGTTCATTTGTTGCTTTTAGGTTTATATCCCACATATAAGTGATATCATGTGATTTTCAACTTCTTCTATCTGGCTTATTTCACTTAGTATGGTTATTTCAAGGTCCACCTATATTGTTGCAAATGGCAATATTTCATCTCTTCTTATGGCTGAGAAGAAATAGCATTTATAAAGGTTCAGTGGCTAGGCAACTAAAAGACCAGTGTTGCCAGAAGTGAAAGACATAAGTTAGGTGCATAAATTGAGGCTGAAGTAGTAGACAGAATCAAATCTTTTAGGTCATGTTATGGGAATTTTGGTAATTGTCCTAAGTACTATGGGAAGCAAATGAAGTTGTTTTGAACAGCAAAGTGACATGGTTAGATTTATACTTTGACCAATATCACTCTTGATTGCAGTATGGAAAGTGGAATGGACTAGGAGACGAGTGGATACTAGTAGACAAGTTAGCAGGGTATTGAATAGTCAAAGTGAAAAATGATGATAGTTTGGCTTAGGGTGTGGTAGTAATGGACGTTGATAGCAGTGGAGATATTAGACGTATTTGGGATTAATGTTGATGGAATAGTAGACTTGAAAAATGGAAAAGATACTGTGTTCTCATGGAGAAGGACTCAATATCATAAAATGTCCTTTTACTTAGAGTATTTTGAAAATTAACAAAATCTCACTAAAAATATCTCCACACATTTTTTTAAATTCCAGAAACTAGGCAAAAATAGACAATAAAATGTTGAAAGCAGAGAGCATTGAAAGGAGTTTAGCTATATAAATGTTAAGAATGACTCTTAGATTTCTGATTTTTACAACTCAGTGAATGATGACACCATTTAATATACCACATGTGAAGATGAGTTTGGAGTTCACAGAATTTTAAATAGTACTGCAAAACCTGTTTATCTTATTTAGACTTTGGAGAGTCTCTGACAATGGCTTTCAGCTCAGAAACAGACCAGGCTTCAAAGTCAGTCAGATGGTACTTTTTGT